AAAGCTGTTGAAACGTTCATAAATGATAAGTCTTAGTGGGTAAGTGCTATACAGAGTTTGGCCACAGCAGGAACACAGAGGGAGGAAATAGTATTAACTGCTCTAGGAGGACACGGAAAGTTCAGGGAGGTGATCTTCCATCTGAGTTTGGGCAGGTGCAGCTGGAGTTTGCATGGAAGGGTGTGGGGAAAGAGGAAGCAAGGGCATTCCTAGCAGAGGGAACAACCTGGTCCAGGCTGTGCAGAGAGGTGTACATAGTGTGGCTTTCAAGTGCAATGCATGGAGAGATCACTGAGAGTGTAATTGGAAAGATGGAGGAGAAGTGAGATAGTTAGGGGGATTATGCCAGGGAAGGTGGATTTCACTCTAGAACTAGTGATTTTCAATCCCAGGGGTAATTTTGCCTTGCAGGATACTTTTGGCAGTATCTGGAGACATTTTTGGTTTTCATAACTGGTGTGTATATATGGCTGCTACTGGCATTTTAAGTGCTAATACAGTAATAGTATTAGGTTTGCCTTTTAGAAAAATCATTGGACTGACACTGGGGAGAAAGACTTGAAAGGAAGCTAGAATAGAAATAGGAGATTAATGGAATACTATTGCAGTAGTCCACGCAAGATGAGGCCCAGAAAAGAAAGGATTAGAAAGGAAGGAACACGTCCCTCAAAAAAAAGAGGCTAATTTAAAAGAGGCCATAGTGAGGAAGAGACAACAGAACTTGGTGACTGGTGGGAAATAAGGGAGTGAAGAGGGAAATGGAGTCTGGGTGCACATCCAGGTTTTGAGCCAGGAAATTGGATTCATCCATGTTCATGTCCTTCAGCGCTGTGGCATGACTGTGCTATTCACTTTGGTGATTTATTGTATATGCTGTTACCTGGCATAACTACTGCAAGAGTACCAACTATTAAAGCGTATTTCTTCTATACTCATAAAATCTAGCACAGTGCTGAGTTTATTCACATTGAGCTACTAATAAACTAGAACAGTAAAATAGAACCACAGTAAAGGGAAAGTGTAGAATTACATAATTCTCTCTCCATATATAATTTCATAGTTATTTTTGTTAATGTTTGTGTGTTTGCTAACTTCTGTTTGATATGCTCCCTTTCCCACTTAAAATATGTTTATGTCGCTGATTTATTTGCCCCCACTGCTTGAGTACAGTCAGTATCTCTTTCATTCTTATACCTGGTCCAGGACTTAGCATTTTGTAGTGATGAAAACTTTCAAAGCATGCGCCAAAAACTGTGCTAAGTGCTTTACATTAGTTATTTTGTGTTATTTCCCATACAAAAGCTTTATGTTGTGCAGTGCTATTTTGATCACCAATGGTAAGTGTAATCTGTGGATGAGGACGTCAAGTCTCAGAGAAGTTAAGTGACCTACCCAGTGTCATATTGTAAATGGAAGAACCACTTGGTTTTGAACCCAAGTCTCTTGATTTCAGACACAGTCCATAGCCTTTATAATTACCTGTAGCCACTCTTGATCAGAAGGCTACAACAGAAGGTATTCGCTATAGATTGATTTAATTGGAGCAGTGCATACTGAAAGGTATATAAAATTAACTGACTTATTTATTGACAGTGAAGGTTTGAATCCTGAAAAGACCTAAATATTTCTGGAGAAGAAATATTCTGAATATTAACAAGAACACTCAGTATGATCATGTGTATATGGACACTTTCTGTCCCCATCTTGGACCTTTCTGAATGTAGAAAGACGACCAGGAGAGCCACTGGTGGCATTGAAGGCAGAAGGGAGCAACAGCTGCTCACTTGCCAGGGAATGAGGACCTATGGAAGGAATGCAGATTGGAAAATAGATGGGTGTGGTGGTACACATCTATAATCCCAGCACTCTTGAGGCTGAGGCAGGAGGATTGTGTGAGTTTGATCCCAGCATGGGCTATGTAGCAAGATCCTATCTCAAACCACATATCCTCAACCCCCCACCTCCAAAGAAAAGAGAGATGGACTAAAGAGGTCAATTTTAGATAGTCTCTTTTAAGTCACAGAAATTCAGAGCTTGGAATGGTAGTGTGTCTCAATCCTAGCACTTGAGAGTCTGAGGCAAGAGAACTACACATTCTAAACCAGCGTGGCCTATCTAAACCAGTGAGACCCTGTCTAAAAAAAAAGATAAGAAAAGACATTCACTGGTATGTGTGGCCACCAGCTGGATCCTTTATTATTTGTTTATGATATCAGGGCTGTCAGGGTTATGATATATGTTTGATGGGGCAGATTTTTTTAGTGTTGGCCATGTAACTGAATCTTCAGAAAATAAATTCATTGAGGGCTGATGAGAAATAGTTTCTCTGTCAAATCCTAAAAAGCCATTGTCTCTTAATTTCTTTTTAAAATGTGTTGCTGCTTTCTTATTTTCATGAAATGAATCCTAGCTTTGTCCTTGTGCATGGAAATGATAATAGCATAAATTAACCCCACTTGTGTAGAAGGTGAATTCTAATACTTGGTAGAATGGCTGATGAGAAATAGAGAAAGGACTTCTTGGAATCCATAAATTTGTCTTTTTCCAAAAGTGGTTTGTATATTTATTCATTTATTTATTAATGGTGGTTCTAGGGTATGAACTCAGGGACTCACACTTACTTGCTAGGCAGACGCTCTTACCACTTGAGCCACTCCACAGATCCTTGCAATCTATTGCTGAGCTGGCTTCGAACCTTGATCCTCCTGATCTCTGCCTCCCAAGTAGCTACAATCACAGGCCTGAGCCACTAGTATCCGGCTTAGAGTTTCTATTTTAAATTCAGACTTTTATTTACATGTACCTTGGGTTTCCTTTTGGCCTATTGGAAACATTTTTCAGTATTAAAAATGCATAATGAGAGTGGAGAGATGTATTCAATGGAATGCCAGAGTCATTGCCTATCCTAATATTTATTTCCCAGACTTAAATCATAGAGTCAGGTAAGTTCACTGCTTTGAGACACTTACTTCTCTCCATCTTGTAAGATTAAAGCAAAGAGGGATGTTTGGCTCAGAAAAGAAAAAAGTTAAGAGGAATATGGGAGTTGTCTTTAAACAACTAAAGCTTTGTCATTTTAGAAAAGATTTGGTTCCTTTTGTGTCATCCCAGTGGATTGAATTTATATGTGGAATTTATAGGGAAACAGATTTCAGTTCAATTTGAGCAAGAACTGCCCAGAGAGGGAGTTGGCTTCCTGGCAAGGGAGGATAGTGGTCCATCTTGAAGGTTTAAAATATGAGTTGGATGGCTGTCTTCTGGAAGAGTATGGTGGATTCAGATGCAGGGTAGAGTGTCATATCAAGTGGCCTGAATTATTGACCAGGAAACGAGTGAGGGGGAGAAACCAGACAGCTAACACAAGGTGAGATGGGAGAGCTATAGCAGACAGAGTATAAAAGGGGAAACTGAGGATGTGGTATCTCTCCCATCCAGTAGAGTCCAACAGTTCACATTTTCTCTGCCAGGGACATTTAATAAGTTGTTGGCTCTTGTTTCAATAAGAGCTTGAGGAAATTTTGGCTTGGTCACAGAGACTGAATAATTCTGCTTTTGTAGTAAGTTTCTGGAAGGAGACATCCAGTGATAATAAATCAGGAGTGTCCAGACCAGCCTGAGGTGGAAACAAAGCTTCTGTCAGTGGATTTAGTTTCTCTCAAGTAATGCTCGCAATTCTCTCTTGTTGTTATAGTGAGCTAAATCTTAACAGTAGGATTCAGGCCCAGACAATTTCTTTTGTTTCTTTTAAGTTTGTTTTTCCAGCTTTCATTTCTGTCTTAACTAAATAAAAACGTTTTGTGAACATTCTCAGCACTGGAATCTGATGTAGGGGGAAAAAAAGCTAAAATTGACATACCCTATTTTCAACTAAGAGTTAATGGAATGTGGGAAAAAGGAGGGTAAAGTGGGTAAGTAAGAATCTGAATGTTTGATGTCAGGCCTGGATTTGATTCTCAGCTCAGCCATTCACTGCCTATATCACCCTAGACTCCTAACTTCTGTGGGCCTCAACTTCTTCATCTGTAAAGGGATGTATTTCTCATAGTTTCCATGTGCATATAAATGCAGTAATATACATAAAAAGTACGTAGTGTATGGTAAGAACTTAGCAAATGTTAGCTGCTTTATTTTTGTGGGATCATTTTGTTGTTAGAGGTCACATTAGAGTGGATATTAGGTTGAATATGTGCTTCCTCATTAGAGAATTATGTGAATAATGCATAATATGTCTAAGTGGAGGGTTAGTTTCACAGTTCTTCAAAAGGAAAAAATCGAGCAAATAGAAACAGAAAGAGGTTTCGCTTAAAAGAAGTAATACACACTCATTGACACTCGTATATTATCTTCTCCCCTGTTCTCTGAAGAAAGGTTCAGGTAGATGTAGATAGAGAAGATATTTGAGAATCTTCTGCATCCAGATAGGCAGAGATCTGGAAGACACAGTTTAAGACCAGCCTGAACAAAACCAGTGAGACCCCATTTCAGTAAAACAAGCAGAGCATAGTGATGTGTTCCTATAATCCCAGCTTTGTGGGAGACCTAAGCAGGAGGATTGTAGTCCAGGCCAGCCCAGGCAAAATGCATGAGACTCTGTCTAGTAAATAACTAAAGGAAAAGGGCTAGGGGCATGGCTCAAGTGGTAGAGTGCTTAGTGCAAAGCCCTGAATTCAAAAGCTAATAGCACCACCACCAAAAAATAATTCAAAAAGCACTTGATGTGTGGGAGTGAGAAAAGGCTGATGATAGAATCTTTTTTTTTTTTTTTTTTGATAGTCCTGGTGTATGAACTCAGGGCCTCACGCTTGTGCAGTAGGTGCTCTTACAGCTGAGCCACTCCACCTGCCCCTGAGCATAGAATCTTTAGTGGCACAGGTATGGCATTTTACAGGGAAGAATGTGAGGAGTTGGCTTATACTGGTAGGTGCATTGAAGTGGAAGTTGGGAGATCTAGGTTCTTCTAGTTAGTCTCACTCTTCTATTTGTGGTTTGTATACCTCTAGGCCTGTCACTTCCCTGCTCTACAGACTGGACTCGATATTTAAGTCCAGGTAATCTGAGTACCTGAGATTCTCCATCTGAATCTACTTGGAAGCAAGGGCAGGTAAATCACTACCTTGAGACAGAACTTTTGGGAAAGCATAATATCAGGTGTTACAGAAATAAAAGAAGGTAAGAGCTGAGAAAGGGTGGGGGTACGCAGGAAGCCAGTTTGTTTAGAGTAGAGGAACCCAGAGGTAAGTGAGGTTACTGTGGAACACCAGGTAAGGAGAATTACTCCAGATTCTCTCATTGACTTTGTAGATAGCATTGACGTTAATAATCATACCTGATAAATTAAGGTCAGTTTAAACCCTGTGCTTTCACCAGTGACCTGGAACATAACTATTTGTGTTTCAATTCAAGGTTTGAAGGAAAATTGTAGTCTATTGTTGAGTGAGACAAAGCTAAATTTTCTTGTTTCTCTTGGAATATTAATCACAATTCTCTCTCTCTCTCTCTCTCTCTCTCTTTTTGTTGTGTGTGTGTGTGTGTGTGTGTGTGTGTGTGTGTGTGTGTGTGTGTAGACTGTTACATTATGGATGGAGGGGATGATGGTAACCTTGTCATCAAAAAAAGATTTGTGTCTGAGGCAGAACTAGATGAACGGCGCAAAAGGAGGCAAGAAGAATGGGAGAAGGTTCGAAAACCTGAAGATCCAGAAGGTACACAGACCTATAGTTGTTCATTCAACATAATTGTCTTTGATTCTCACAACAACCCTTCCCAATAGGTGTTAATTGTCCTCACTTAGAGTTGAGGAACCAAAGTACAGAGGGGGAAGTAACCTGTGTTACATGGCAGGGTGCTCACATCCTTGACCTCTCTTGTCCACCAAACTGCCTTCCAGGAGATTCTGCTTGTTTGTTCCACTGGTAGAGGTGGATCCATGGTCTGAGTAACTGAGAACTCTGCTGTGTGGAGGATTTGAGCTGGCCTCTCTTCCAGTGAACCGTGTCAGACCATGGGCCCTCTTGACAGTGACAGTTGACTTTGAGAACTGCTGGCTCCTCCCAGAGGTGCAAAGGAAAGCTGTGAACTTAGTGCTTTTTTTTTGCAGTACTGGGGTTACTGGGGTTTGAACTCAGGAACTCAGGGTAGTGTCCTTGAGCCAAGTTCCTAGCATATTTGTGCTATTTTTATGTTATTCTCATCCTCAGTTCATGCAAAGATTTTGTTTAAAAGTCTTTGTGATTCCAAAACAACATGAAATAACTTTGAAGCATGTATCTCCCCCTTCCTTTCTTTCCCTTTGTTTTCTTTTCAGAATGTCCAGAAGAGGTATATGATCCTCGGTCTTTGTATGAACGACTACAGGAGCAGAAAGACAGGAAGCAGCAGGAGTATGAGGAGCAGTTCAAATTCAGTAAGCTTCAGAAAATACACAAGTCTGGGGAACTCCACCAGGCCTTTTGATGCACTTTGGCCTATGCAACACACTAGCTAGCAGTGGAGTTGTCTTAATTATCTAGTCTCCAGATGCTCATTTGGTGAGAAAGAGACAGCCTTCTGCTGAATTACGTCTTGTTTTAGCTTGGCAGATTAGCAAATAAGACATAGAGTGTCTTCCAGAGGAACATTCTAGAAAAGTAGGGCTGTGAGTGTGAGATGCCCTTCAGTTTTCAACTAAAAGGAAAGAAAGGATAAAAACTTTTCTGTCTGGTAGCATTGCAATAAGGCATTGAAGAGTCTCCAGGGATAACTGGAACATTGAACATTTTTGTTTAGAACTGAAAATAACCATTTTAATTCTATGCTAGTATCTAGCTGTGGGAGAAATGTCTTGATTTTATGCCATGCTATCTATCCAAAAGCCATGGTATTTAACAGTTCTTTTTTCTAATCCCCTGAAGAACTTGCTGTTTATTAAGAAAGGAAGAAGGAAAAGTCAAAGAACACTGTATTTTTCCTTTAGCCCACTTTGTGTTCCTTGTTTAATTATTTCCCCAGAAAACATGGTAAGAGGCTTAGATGAAGATGAGACCAACTTCCTTGATGAGGTTTCTCGGCAGCAGGAGCTAATAGAAAAACAGCGAAGAGAAGAAGAACTAAAAGAACTGAAGGAATACAGAATATCCTTTGTACTTTGAGAGAAATTTACCAAGTGTCTTGTTTCCTCAGATAGAAAGAGGGTCTTCTACCTGGGGGCCTCCATAGTCTTTCAGTAGTGATATTCCTTGGAGTCTGAATGACTAGCAGTGATTTGTGAACTCTGTATTGCATGCAAGAGTCTGTTGTAATCAAAAGTTCATGTCCTTTAGGATTAACTGTAGGCATAAATCCTTGTAGTCAGTGGCAGGGTATTCTTGCCATGTGGAATTAGAGGACTCTGAGACAGATGGGCAGTTCAGTTAATCTCATTCAGAGGAGAAATTGGCTTCTGAGTTTAGTTTTTTTTTTTTATGGTAATGGGATTTGAACTCAGGGCCTCATGCTTGCTAGGCAAGTGTTCTTATAGCTCTGTTTTGTGGGTTTTTTTGGGGGGTGGCACTGGGGTTTGAACTCAGGGCCTCTTACAAATTAAGCCACTCCACCAGCCCTGTGTTGGGTATTTTGAGATAAGAGTCTATGGAACTATTTACTGGGACTGGCTTGAAACCAAGATCCTCTTGATCTTTGTCTCCTGAGTAGCTAGTATTACAGTCATGAGCCACTGGTGCCTAGTGGCTTCTGAGTTTTAAAAGGACGTGTTTAGTAACTCTCCTCTGTTCTTAGCAACACCTTCTTCTGGGATTACAGGTGTGTGTCATCAGGCCCAGCTTTGAATGTCTTAGTAGGCAATCCCAAATGTGACTTGGCTAAGTCAAAATTTTCAGTTCCATGCTACATTACCCCTGCCCTCCACCAGAGTCTTTTTCTGGTCTTCCCAGTCTCAGTAACTTGCAGCTGTCTAATGTTTGCTGTCTCTACTGCCACTGTGGTAATCATGGACTTTCTGGCTGCTAAGACTGTCTAATATGTTTCTTTCTCTTTTTTTTGTTAGCGTACATTAATTGCATAAAGGGGCTTCATTGTGATATTTCCATACATACATATAATATACTCTGATCAAATTTAGCCCCTCTGTTATTCTTATTCTCCTCCCCTTTTTAAACAATTCTTAATTGGTTTCATCATTCTATTTTCATACATGGGTAAGAAGTACTTTGATCATCATCTAATTGTTTTGTTTCTACTGTCACCCTTGGCAGTCTGTTCTTCAGACAGCCAAAGGAACTTTTAAAAACCTACATGTCATCATGTCATTTTCCTATTTGAAACACTCTAGTGGCTTCCTGTTGCCTTTAGACCAGTCTTTATTCTTTATCAGGCTTCACAGGGCTCTACGTGATTTAGGCCAGCCATCTCTCTTATGTTTCCCTCATGCTTCCCGTATTCCAGCTGCTGGCTTTTATGTTCCCCTCATGTCAAGCTTTGAGTCCATCTGAAGGCCTCAAACTTGCTATTTCCTTGGCCTGAAACGTTTTGTCCTCAGGCTAGCATTTCAGGTCTCAACTCAGCACTCCCTCACCAGAGACCTTCCCTAAGTATCCCACGTGCAATTGCACCCACCCCATTGCTGTATGTAATGATTTTTCCCTCCTTTGGGTGGGGGATGGACCCAGGGACTTTCTGCATGCTAAGCACCTACTGTATTACTGAGCTACATGGTACCAGGCCCTCTAATACAATTTTTTTTGGTGATGGTGGTACTAGGATTTAAACTCAGGTCCTTGAACATGCTAGGCATACACTTTAACACTTGAGCCATACTCCTAGCCCTATAAAACAATTTTTTGTTTTGTTTTTGGTGGTACTGGGGTTTGAACTCAGAGCCTTACAGTTACTAGGCAGGCTCTCTACTACTTGAACCACTCTGCCAGCTCAATAGTAATACAGTTTTTTTTTTGTTTTTTTTTTTTTTCATTTTTCTTTTATTATTCATATGTGCATACAAGGCTTGGTTCATTTCTCCCCCTGCCCCCACCCCCTCCCTTACCACCCACTCCGCCCCTCCTCTCCCCCCCCAATACCCAGCAGAAACTATTTTGCCCTTATTTCTAATTTTGTTGTAGAGAGAGTATAAGCAATAATAGGAAGGAACAAGGGTTTTTGCTGGTTGAGATAAGGATAGCTATACAGGGCATTGACTCACATTGATTTCCTGTGCGTGGGTGTTACCTTCTAGGTTAATTCTTTTTGATCTAACCTTTTCTCTAGTACTGTGTTCCCCTTTTCCTATTGGCCTCAGTTGCTTTAAGGTATCTGCTTTAGTTTCTCTGCATTAAGGGCAACAAATGCTAGCTAGTTTTTTAGGTGTCTTACCTATCCTCACCCCTCCCTTGTGTGCTCTCGCTTTTATCATGTGCTCATAGTCCAATCCCTTGTTGTGTTTGCCCTTGATCTAATGTCCACATATGAGGGAGAACATACGATTTTTGGTCTTTTGGCCAGGCTAACCTCACTCAGAATGATGTTCTCCAATTCCATCCATTTACCAGCGAATGATAACATTTCGTTCTTCTTCATGGCTGCATAAAATTCCATTGTGTATAGATACCACATTTTCTTAATCCATTCGTCAGTGTGGGGCATCTTGGCTGTTTCCATAACTTGGCTATTGTGAATAGTGCCGCAATAAACATGGATGTGCAGGTGCCTCTGGAGTAACAGTCTTTTGGGTATATCCCCAAGAGTGGTATTGCTGGATCAAATGGTAGATCGATGTCCAGCTTTTTAAGTAGCCTCCAAATTTTTTTCCAGAGTGGTTGTACTAGTCTACATTCCCACCAACAGTGTAAGAGGGTTCCTTTTTCCCCGCATCCTCGCCAACACCTGTTGTTGGTGGTGTTGCTGATGATGGCTATTCTAACAGGGGTGAGGTGGAATCTTAGTGTGGTTTTAATTTGCATTTCCTTTATTGCTAGAGATGGTGAGCATTTTTTCATGTGTTTCTGGCCATTTGAATTTCTTCTTTTGAGAAAGTTCTGTTTAGTTCATGCCCATTTCTTTATTGGTTCATTAGTTTTGGGAGAATTTAGTTTTTTAAGTTCCCTGTATATTCTGGTTATCAGTCCTTTGTCTGATGTATAGTTGGCAAATATTTTCTCCCACTCTGTGGGTGTTCTCTTCAGTTTAGAGACCATTTCTTTTGATGAACAGAAGCTTTTTAGTTTTATGAGGTCCCATTTATCTATGCTATCTCTTAGTTGCTGTGCTGCTGGGGTTTCATTGAGAAAGTTCTTACCTATACCTACTAACTCCAGAGTATTTCCTACTCTTTCTTGTATCAACTTAAGAGTTTGGGGTCTGATATTAAGATCCTTGATCCATTTTGAGTTAATCTTGGTATAGGGTGATATACATGGATCTAGTTTCAGTTTTTTGCAGACTGCTAACCAGTTTTCCCAGCAGTTTTTGTTGAAGAGGCTGCTATTTCTCCATCGTATATTTTTAGCTCCTTTGTCAAAGATAAGTTGCTTATAGTTGTGTGGCTTCATATCTGGTCCTCTATTCTGTTCCACTGGTCTTCATGTCTGTTTTTGTGCCAGTACCATGCTGTTTTTATTGTTATTGCTTTGTAATATAGTTTGAAGTCAGGTATTGTGATACCTCCTGCATTGTTCTTTTGACTGAGTATTGCCTTGGCTATTCGTGGCCTCTTGTGTTTCCATATAAATTTAACAGTAGATTTTTCAATCTCTTTAATGAATGTCATTGGAATTTTGATGGGAATTGCATTAAACATGTAGATTACTTTGGGAGTATCGACATTTTTACTATGTTGATTCTACCAATCCATGAGCATGGGAGATCTCTCCACTTTCTATAGTCTTCCTCAATCTCTTTCTTCAGAAGTGTATAGTTTTTCCTTGTAGAGGTCTTTCACATCTTTTGTTAGGTTTACACCTAGGTATTTGATTTTTTTTGAGGCTATTGTAAATGGAATTGTTTTCATACATTCTTTTCGTTTGCTCATTGTTAGTGTATAGAAATGCTAATGATTTTTCTATGTTGATTTTATATCCTGCTACCTTGCTATAGCTATTGATGATGTCTAGAAGCTTCTGAGTAGAGTTTTTTGGGTCTTTAAGGTATAGGATCATGTCGTCTGCAAATAGGGATATTTTGACAGTTTCTTTACCTATTTGTATTCCTTTTATTCCTTCTTCTTGCCTAATTGCTCTGGCTAGGAATTCCAGTACTATGTTGAATAGGAGTGGAGATAGTGGGCATCCTTGTCTGGTTCCTGATTTTAGAGGGAATGGTTTTAGTTTTTGTCCGTTAAGTATAATGCTGGCTGTAGGTTTGTCATATATAGCTTTTATAATGTTGAGGAACTTTCCTTCTATTCCTAGTTTTCTTAGAGCTTTTATCATGAAATGATGTTGGATCTTATCAAAGGCTTTTTCTGCATCTATTGAGATGATCAAGTGGTTTTTGTCTTTGCTTCTGTTAATGTGGTTTATTACGTTTATTGATTTTCGTATGTTGAACCACCCCTGCATCCCTGGGATGAAGCCTACTTGGTGTGGTGAATAATCTTTTTGATGTGTTGCTGAATTCGGTTTGCCATTATTTTGTTGAGGATTTTTGCATCAATGTTCATTAAGGAGATTGGCCTATAGTTCTCCTTTTTGGAGGTGTCTTTGCCTGGTTTTGGGATAAGTGTAATACTGGCTTCATAAAATGTGTTTGGCAGTTTTCCTTCCCTTTCTATTTCATGGAACAGTTTAAGGAGGGTTGGTATCAGTTCTTCTTTAAAGGTCTGATAGAATTCAGCAGAGAATCCATCAGGTCCTGGACTTTTCTTTTTGGGGAGACTCTTGATTGCTGCTTCAATTTCATTTTGTGTTATAGGTCTATTCAGGTGATTAATTTCCTCTTGGTTCAGTTTTGGATGATCATATGTATCTAGAAATCTGTCCATTTCTTTAGATTTTCAAATTTATTTGAATATAGGTTCTCAAAGTAGTCTCTGATGATTTCCTGGACTTCCATGGTGTTTGTTGTTATCTCCCCTTTTGCATTCCTAATTCTACTAATTTGGGTTTTTTCTCTCCTCATTTTAGTCAGGTTTGCCAGGGGTCTA